CCGGCATTTCCAGGCTAATGGTCCATCAGGAGATGAAATGCAGGCTCCGTATTTTTTCCGAGAGTGTAGTTAGAGGGTGGGTTTGGCCATGGTTGGGGGTTGTGGTTGTAGTGGGATTTCCACAGCTCTGGATATCCAGGCTAGGCAGAGGCGTTTAGCTAATCCTCTTAGCCCCACTCTGTAACACACAGACAGAGACTGCCTTCACTTCCCTTCCTGATCAGCAACCCCCAGCTTTAAAAATTCACACTCTGGGATCACCGGTCAGACTGCGATGCGCTGCAAGTTTGTCCTCATCAACGCTGACCAAACCTCTCTCTCTTTACACATGTGTGCCAGAGAGCTTGTGGAGCCTGTACACCATTACTAAAACATTACAGTTCCGTTGGGCCATTGCAAACTGTCTATCTTTCTTTCTCCTACTCATTCAGTCCTTACTAAGTAGAGGAATGGATGAAGGTATGTTAGTAGATCAGTGTCTCAGCGAAGCGGTAATCTGCTTGGCCCCTGTGCCACTGTGGCTTGGCAGATGGGACGGATATCCCTACCAGCCATCTGGACAGCCTGGCATGGACGAAAGGCGGCCGTGGCCTAGTGCAGAGTGAGATCAGAGGATTACTGTCCCCTGCACTGTCCCAACAGCGTAGCTATTTTTTACCGACATGTCAAATAATGAGAGTGCGACCCACGTGACCAGCCCCGACATCCATCAAGCCTGACATTTCATGTTAGAGCCCAATATGAGCTTGTATTGTACCAGTACAGGGGAGCTTAGAGACACATAGGGCTGACTTTGTAACAAGGGTTTATGGATTTTAAATGGACATACATGTACATGTTGTCTCTTCAATGAATTCACTGGCTGATGCATTCTGGTCCTGCTGATGCTATGTGAGGCTATTTTAGGTATTTCATGACCTAATAAGTATCAATAAGGGCCCCTTATTTATTTCTCAAATGTCTACCTTAGGTGTACGAAAAGCTTCCTACACAGCTTTCCAGGTATTTCTTTTTTTTGGGGAGTTTATTGGTCTTTAAATTCAAATCTCAATGTAGTCGTCGCCGCATAAATGAATGTTTTCCAACGACTACATGCACAGGGTCAAGTGGCTGTGAGGAACAGGCACAAAAGGGTGCCTGTTATAATATAATAATAATGGAAAGAAAAACAAATAGTTATGTTCTGCATACGTTTCTCTTTGAGTTTAAATACAAAACTAAGTAAACAAACATGAGGCTTGAGAGGAACACTGTGTTCCGCTTTATCCTCAACACAAACTCACTGTGGAAGGGAGCTGGAGAGGGGAGGGAAAACACACCAGAGAGCCTGATGGAGGAATGTAAGGGAGGACATTAAAGAGGGAATGAGACGGATAAACTAGATGAGAGTGAAGGACCGCTAGGATCACATGATTTGTGTTGTTATCATTTCTAGCATTCTTAAATATTTCTCAATGTGCTGTTTTATGGTTTACGTCAAAATACTGTGACCAAAGTCATTTAGCCATTCTAGCATATTGGCACTGGTGATGGCAATGTTAACCAGTCGGTCCACCACGTTAGTCCAGACATCCATAATCCGCAGAGGATGAATCCTACTAACTAAATACAATATTCCTCTTGTGCCAACATGGGGGAAGGGGCATTCTTGGTTATTGGTCGAGAGTCTAAACTTGTAGTGGAACAACAACCATGCAACTTGGTAATTCATGTTGCCCTCAAGATTAATTTCCGTAATGTTTTCGATCCTGTGGCTTTTTCATATACTGACATTATCATCAACCTCAGCTGTATTGTGTGTTGAATGGTTACTAACTATGCTAACGCACGTTGTAATAGTGAACTTGAATGTACACTTTTTACAGCTTAAGTATTGGGATGTTAGCTTTGTCATTGGGAGTGTGTTAGCATGCACATAAGATACTATGTTTTAGATCCAAGCAACAATGTGTCTAATCCTCACAAAGCTGCTAGCATGGCTGTAGCATTGTCAGGTTTTAAAATGGGAATACTTAAATCTTTTTTTGGTGAGCAGGGCTTCCAGTTCTAGTTTTTTTTTATACAAGCAGTTGAAGGTGTTGTTGTCAAACTCAATCATTATGGGGACAAAAATATCTGTTTAACTTTTGAGGACTTACAAGGTAGAAAGTTCCAGTATAATCTACTGTTTTTGTAGAAGAGAGACATTTCAGTCAAACCACCCACATGGAAAAGTTTTCATTATTATGTGAATATAAAGTATGCACAGGGTGTATATTTGACACCTAGGCCCTGACTGGCCTCTCCCACAAACTTGTCTCTAAGGAAAATGTGGAGTGATGATAATAAACTTCCCCTCAGGGTAACTTATGACTCACAGGCTACAGGTGGTGGATGAAAAACAGCAGAGGTGTCGGCATTGTGCGGAGGATTGTTTGCAAATGAGCTACTTTGGCAGAACAAGAGAGTGGGCAGAACTTTTTCAGCTGAGACAACCTCCACGGACCGCCGCCTCAAAGTCAGTGTCTGGCTGTTAATACTTTCAGTTTAAATATGTCTGGGTTCTTTTTTTTATTGCTTATGATCCTCCAGTTTCCCTTTTCGAGGTGAGGTGAAGACCATCCTCCCTGTTCTCTCTACTTATTTCAGGATAAACGGCTTCTTTCTATCCTCACTTTATCCTATTTCGCATTTCTCTCTCTTCCAGTTTTCATCTCCAATGAAACAGCCCATCTGGACTGGGGGCGGCATTTATTTTCAGCAGCATTTATGTCCTCGAACAGGATGCTTCTTTAACAGAAAAATATCACTTCCTCCTCGTCCTCGTCCTCGTCCTCCTCCAGTCTCGTCCTAATGCACTCCAGAACTTGTTTATACCACATCAAGAGACACCAACCTCTGTGGCTGTTTGTCGCTGTGAGGTGAAACTTGCTGTGCATTGAGGCCAGACAACAATGTGTGTGTGTGTGTGTGTGTGTGTGTGTGTGTGTGTGTGTGTGTGTGTGTGTGTGTGTGTGTGTGTGTGTGTGTGTGTGTGTGTCAATTTATCCTGAAGCCGTTTCCTCTGCCTTTCATTTGTTTTGTTCAAGTTCAATCATGAACATCCTCACCGTCACTAAGGGATAGGTCCATTTCCAAATGTGAGGATTTGCTACATTTCTTTTCATTATCGCATGGTGAATTTAATACCTATGATATTTTGCTGTTTCCAAAAAGATATAACAAAAAATAAATATATATTTCCTTATTTGGTGTAAGAACAAGTAAAAGTAAAGTTTGTGGCAAAAAGTAGGCTTGCCAGTTTATCATTTCTAAAAACTAGATATTAATTTTGTAAGGAGGAAAACAATCTCAAAATAAAATAGGGGCGATTTCTTATTTTTCCAAGGACAGCAGGGGGTTCTGTGTCTTGATTGTTCATCTCATTGAAGACAATAAATAAAAACAATCATGGCCTATTTTTTGATGTGAAACCCCCTCAATCCAACAAATTCCCACCACATCAGGCTTTGTCAACAAAGTAAAATACACTTTTAGTCTCAATCAGTCGGCAGATGAAACATTTACATATAACTGAGTGAAACAGTCGTTCACAATCACGAACAAAGAATCTTGTGAAATGCTTTGAAGTCCGTCTCTTAAGAACGTGAATATACTTACATTTTAGATCAGAGAGATTTAATAGAGTTTCTCAAAAGACTTGCACACTGTCTGTCATCCTCAATTAAAGTAACTTTGTTCAGATCTAGGACTCCACTATTCCACTCTTGTTCCTCAATCGATGTCCGTCCGTGCGGCGCTCTTTTATCTGCTTTCTCTTCCCTCTATCAGAAGCTATTGCTCCCTTACCAGAAGAAGCACATGAGGATTTATATATTTTTAATACTGACGTCTCCCAAGCAGACACTACGGCAGAGCTCCCGCTGCGCTTTGAAGCAAATGTTTGATGATTTGAATGTATGATAGTTTTTGAATTCAGAAATCTCAGCGGCATATTTGCTCAAGTAGTAGCTATACGAAAGCAGTGGAGCTTTAACAAAATCAAAGCAATGCCTCTTCATCCTCTTTTTGTTTCTTCTCTTTACTGACAAAACATTTTGCACTGCGTTTTCGGTTTCTTTGAGAAGATAAACGCACAAAGATCCTGTTGGTGTTGGAAAACGTATTTTCAATCCTATATTTACTGGGCCTGATATGGGAGATTTTGTCCTGTTGCACCTGCAGCAGCAAACACTTCCTCTGCCCTCTGACTGCCCAAAGCCAGCCGGCACCTCGGCAGTGTGTACCCTCTTTCATCCTCACTTCTAATCCCACGGCCCCTTTCATCCATCAGTGGCCTCCACTGTGTCCCTGCCAGGTCACATTTTGTAGCACTTAAAAGGCACGAGGGAGGCTAAAGGCAGGAGGCTTAACTGTTCATGCAGGCGACGCCAAAGGTGCCAAGGTGAGCAATAAGTGTTGTCTCACGGATGATGGAATTTCCTTTGCTAAGCGGCAAACTTTGTGAGAGCTTAGCAAAATATGATATTCCTGGAAGTGTTACTGTGAGGTTGTTCTGTACCTTTTCGCTGTACAGCCCACATACACATGCTTTATTGACACAGGAAGCAGAGAAAGAGGGAGCACCCACTCGAGTCAGGAGAACTGGATTCAGCTTGAGAACTCCAACAGCAGCAGAATCTCACTGTAGTCTCCAGTGTGCATGAAACCTGAGCCGATCAGCAGGGTTTACATGCTGAAAGGGAGAGATAGTTAAGCTACCATGTTAAACACATCAAGGAGTGAGACCTGTGGCGGTTTAGCTCCTGGCTCCTGGCTCCTGGCAGGAGAGCCCCCTATAAAGCAGACCCATTAAAGCGCTCCTCCTACCCCGAGAAACCGGAGTTAATCAGAACCAGAGGTTTGGATGGAACCACTCGCTAAACACCCGGACCACACTGTGCTGCGCCTGGATCCTGGAGCTTTAAAACAGTGGTGGAATGTGATGGAATACGTTTACCGAAGTACAATTTAATGTTTACTGTACTTTACCTATTTTCATTGTATGCTACTTAATACTTGTATTCCACTACATTTTGGTAGCCAAACTAAAAAATAAACATTGCCATAATATTGGTTAAAGAATCCAGCAGCAGTATATAAAGTAACCAAAATGAAATCCACATTTACTAGCTTTCATACACAATAATGTTAAAATACTTATAACCCATTCATATAATATATGTGATTCAAAAATGGGCCATAACACAAAATGTCTACTAATCTCTAATAAGTAATATTTTAAATACAGGAATTTTACTCGTAACAGCATTTTTACAATTTATTATTGCTACTTTCACTTCTGGGAAAGATTTTATGACTTCTTCCAACTCTCCCCAACAGTAGGGTTTTGAAGTTTCCACCAACAATCCTATGTATTCGACAACAAACACAGCAGATCTGGTGGCAAGTCACATGTGTTTTCGGCTTACATATTGGACCAGCTGTCTTTTTATCTTCGGCGACATGCATGGCAGCAGCTCGGTTCTGATAAACTACACATTACTGTTCAGTTGCATATACGTGTCCGAAGATATACGGCTATGTTACATCATAGCTCTCTTCCATCCTGGTCTGTTTTTTACTTCATGAATGCACGTGTGGGTGTCTGCTACTAGGAAGGCCGTGCTTCCCCTGAAGCCCCAGGGGTCCAAGTCTGCTAAATAATCACTTTCCCAGCTCCTATACACATTTAGCCAAGTTTCATGCTACTACAGAGTCCCGTATTAATAGACTAAGATATGGAAGTAGTTGGTATATTATATTTTTAAAGCCCAAAATCTAAGTTTGTGAAACTGCTTCAAAGGGCTTGAACAACAAATACCAATCTCAAATGGGGGACAAAAGGAGGGAACATTTGGAAACGAGAGTAAGTCTTCTAATTCAACATAAGAAATCCTTCTCAAAAAATGTTATAGCGGAATGTTTAATACAGCGCATTTGAAAAAAGTCATTTACAGTTACAGTTTTAAACATGTGGTTACAGTTGTAAATAAAACAAAACAAAACCAAGGCAGATTTACGGAGCCCTGAGGCCTGTACTACGAAGCCGGATTTTCGCTTAGTGAGCTAACTTCAGGGAAAACTCTGGGTTTCCGGTCCTACGATGCTGGTTCACTTCTTAGCGGGCTAGATCTCCATGGTAACTTATGCTGAACGGGCAACCTGAGGCATGTACTACGAATCTAGTTCAACATATCCTGGATATGTTTGAGTTAGCCGGTTGACCTAATCCAAAGCAAACCCGCTCTCGCTAAGCTGTGCTGCGACGCTGACTATCAACTCCTTAATTCAAGCCAGCTTTATCTTATCTAGTTAGGTGTGCGTTCACATAAGAGGGACGGTATTTGGAATGATCGACCAATCACAAACATGGACAAGCCACCTACTGACAGCGCAGCGCGTCATACTTCCTGAATGAAAAGTCAACTATAATATTAGACGTATGAAGAAGTTAAACTTTAAACATCCATGACTTACACTTTATCCAGGATAAAAGCCACATAGTTGCACCTGCAAGGTGAATACAGCTGATAAAAGAAAAAGTGTTTGAATGCGTACATTAACAGGTTTATGATATCACTGCCCCGTCTAAGACACGAGTGGATCTGACTTTAATTACATTTGACTCTAGTGTTTCGTCAACTTAATGTGTTGCTTAAAATAATACTTCTGCATACAGTATGTGACACTGTGAGTGTTGCACGGCCAGATACGGCTCAGCTGACTCAGATAAGGAAATATGATACATTATGATGTGATATGAATGATAATGGGACACATCGACGTCTGCACTCACAGTGCCGCGGACAGTAGGCTACGTAATGTTACTTTGATCCGGTTACTTATNACGGGGAATGGTTAGTCTCGAAGTCACCACGTCTCAAAATTATTTCGCCAGTTCACGTACTAATGTCCCTCTTCCTTTAAATCTTTTTGACGGAAACGTCTTTTCACTGAGTTGATCTCTTATGCTGGAACCTAACCTGCTCCGGAGCAAAGGCCATAGGCCTGTGCTACGAAGCAGGATTTTCTAGTAGGCTAGTGGAGCCTCGCAGATGGGGCTGTTGCAGCACCCTCCCCACCCCCCCTTCCCGCGTCCATTCGCGATGTCTCGCAGCAAGCGGGAAACCACATCAGTAAGCCAGCTCACACTGTCAGCTCCTCGCAGCAGCGAGCCAGTGGGCGAGCTGACCAATCAGAGCACATTGGGCTCACAGGGAGGGGGGGGGCAGAAAAAGTATCTCGAATGAGGCCACGTTTTATTAATTTTTGCGCACGATATACTTTCTCGTTCGCACACATTGATAAAACGTGGCCTCGTTTTATCTAAATTGAGGCCACAAATTACATCTTGTGCGCACAAATTAATACAACGTGGCCTCGTTTTATTAATTTTTCTCTCTATGAACCCCCCAGGGCTACCTGTACAGATTACTTGGGTAGGTAAAGAAAAAAGATAATTGATCAGATTTGGTCTGTATTACATTTACACAAGTTAAAGAGGACTTTTTGTCTTATACAGAGACACAAACGACAGTCTCCTGTAATAGGTCCTGTGTTTGTGTCACACCAACATGACCTTTCTTTAAGTAGATTTCAGCAGACTTTATATTGTATTAGTAATACACAAAAATACCATAATAGGGGAAAATAAATATCCTTCGAAAAAGTAATTGTCAATTCAGTTTTGTAGTACGGGAAGTTGGGAACACATATGACCGAGCAGCAGAGGAGGGACTTCTCTATTAGGATGGGTGGAAGGATGACTGTTATTTATTTGTTCAGTTTGAAATCTGCAACATTTCAATCCAAACCCTCCTCCTGGCTTGTATATGTTTGTCACATGCTTGAGTGCATGCAGGGTGCTGTGCAGCCCTGTCCATCCGGTGGAGGCCAGAGGCCAGCAGGTTTCTCGGACATAGGCAGGAAGCCTCTGGACCTCCCCAGGATGTAGCTGTCAGCTGATCCCCCTCTGGGAAGGGGAGGTGGCGAGGAGGAGACGGCAGAGGAAGAGGAGGGGAGAGGAAGAGAAATTGGCAGGTGTGTGGATGGGACAGGAGAGTGGGGGTTGGGTCTCTTGCTGGCCGATGGTGACATTGGGGAGGTCTGTTATACAGATAAAAGAGCCCCCTCTCTCTCCTTCAGTCTCCCTCCATCCTGTAAGAGCTGATTTGCAGCTGTAGGCTCCTGTAATGCATTTAAGAGAAGAAAGTCAGAAAAGGAGAGATGCATAACCTGCGCGCACATGTCCTGTGTGCACTTTTCTCCTATGACTTCATGCAGCACTGAATAAAGGCCGCTACATGACAGGAACTCAACACCACTCCTTTAATGATGAACACCTCTCGCGCTATTTATAGCAAGAGCTCAGTGTATAGGTTCCACATGTTCACTAAATCACTTTCTGCTGGTGGTGTAACGTCTGCGTGTGATACAGCTGGATGACCTTTCACCTTTCACCCCCCCTCTCTCATTCACGTAGAAAAGCAGCACAGACACAAGACAGAGCCTTTGTCTTTTTTCTACATCTGCCATACAAGATGGAGTCCAGATCTGTTGCTCAGTTTCTTTGAACTGCATCAACTATCACTGAAGTTGACAGCCGAGTGGTGAGATGTTCTTTGAACTGGCACTGTGACGTGATATCAGCCGGAGATGGTGGTAACCTAGTTTATTTTTTTGATAACTTGAAAAATAGCACAGATCTCACCGGACGTCCATATGGAGCATTCCTTACTGAGTGTCTGATTTCAACCTCGTTAAATTGGTTGTGCGTTTCTTTTTTGTTTTATTCTATGCATCACTCACAGCCTGTTTTTTTTTTACAGTGTTGAAGTCGGTTTCTCTTCTCGTGCGTCCGCCCTGCATGAATGGTGTTTAGGAAACAGAGAGAACAGGAAAGGCAGAGCAGGCAGGGAAGAATAGAGGGATATCCCCTTACAGGGTTCCCTCCTTTTTCCTCCAGGATAGAGGGGGGGAGAACTTCGGAAAGGGTGGGGGGATGGTAAATCACACCACCTGTCCACACACAAACCTGTGCACATGCATTCCAAAGAAATCATATGTGAATACAAACACAAGTGTGCATGCTTCCGCTCTGAGGCCTGTCTGCTGCTGAGAGAGGTCCTCTCTCTTTCCCTTTGTGTGTGTCTGTGTTTGGCTAGAGACCCTCAGATTAGCCCTATGTGGCCCAGATTACAACCGGATCAGTGCTGGCACATATTACACCAGCCTGTGAACCTTCATTGGGACAGTGGGCCAGCCTGGGCTTTAGGGGCTGAAAAACCCATTTAATTACACTTCAGTGGAGAGGAGAAGTACAGTCACTGATTTACACAAGCTGTTGTTTATACTGTTGTGGTGTGAGTTACGCACGCAATCCCGGAAGTGTCAAAAGGATAAATGCATGTTTTGTGAAGCGGGAGCTGGGAGTGGAAGGTTTTAGTTTACAGTGTCACATTTGCTTTCCCCAAACAAATGTGACTTTTATGGGGTCTGCTTTTACAATCAGCACTCTTCCCCCTAGTGGCTGCAAAGGGAAACACACACGAGGGAAACACACGGATAACTCCATCTGACAGTACAGGAATAAACCTTGCAAAAGGCTCTCTTGATGACATCTCATCTGTAGAAAAACATATTTTTCAATCTGCAATTTGAAATGAAAAGCTCTTAGGTAGTGGCTGATAATTTGTTTGTTTTGTCTCATCCAAGGTGCCACCAGGGACGTCGGCTCAGCTCTGACTAGGATGTGCATGCGACACCGCAGCATTGAGACAAAATTACGCCACTTCACCAAGTAAGTGTCCCTGGCTTCCCCCCCTCCATTGCAATTTTCGTATCTCTCTTACTTTGAGAGGATTATTTTGATCCAAGGTCCCATCCCATCCCTGTTGACCTCCCTCTCTGCCACTCTTCACTGAGTGTTTTTGCACCATGGATGGAAGTAAAGCTATTTGTTATGCCTCTCACTCGCTCTACTCACACTGTGCCTCCTTGTCACTGCAGTGCTCTTATGGAAGGCCTGGTTACGCCTCTCCAGGACAGAATAGAAGAATGGAAGAAGACAGCCAATCAACTGGACAAAGACCATGCCAAAGGTGAACAACATACAAACTATAAATACGTGTTTGTGAGAACTGTATATTTGAGAGGAGCTGACTTTTTCTTTGGTTGCTCTATGCAGAATACAAGAGGTCTCGTCAGGAAATCAAAAGGAAGTCGCTGGATACCATAAAACTCCAGAAAAAAGCAAGAAAAGGTGAGAAAACACTTCCCACTATGGCAAGAATGTGTCATTTATCAACCTCCCGCACCTTCATTGACATTTTAAGGTAGATATTAATGAAGTATGCTGTGCTGCTGGTCTCTTTTCTGCTCTAATGGTTCAGATTAAACTGGCGCCATCTAGAGTGTAGCATCAGAAATGACAACTCAACCAAATCATAATGCCTGGCACAATTTCAAAAGCTCCTTTCCAGCTTTGGGTGTTTTACAGCTTCTACCTCATAAATCAAAGGAATTATCTTCTTTCCTGGCTGTGTTTGCATTAGCCCCTACTGCTGGATGTAATTAAATGCCTATTTTCATACAGGATTTACTGCATGCCAGTAGTACGGTCTGGTAATAAACATGCAATGTGCCCTGATGTGATACAGCTAACATTGCCTGTTCTTCTGTCTCTCCTCCCCTGCCTGTCCCTGCAACCTCTCCTCTATTTCTTTCTGGCTATTTCCCCTGGCTGTAGAGCTTCTAGGTATGTCTGCTGTGCTCCATGACATAGTTTTTAAAGGCATTGTAATCATTTTTCAAACAAACTGCCAGTAAAAAAACTGTGTTTTCTTAGCATGTTTTGTTTAAGAAAAGTAATTGTTTGACATTTTGAGAAATTGGTTTATTGAATTTCCTGCAGAGAGGTGAGAAGAGGATAGCACTCTCCACTGAATGCTAAAGAGGCTACCACCACCAGCAGCCTTTTAGATTAGCTTTACACAAAGGCTATAAACAGGGGGAAGCAGCTACCCTGGCTTGAGTAACAAAACTACCTATCAACTTTTTTATATTTCACAAAATAATCTAATTAATCTATTTTTGTATTCATACAAACAAATTAAATTGTACAAACTACATAGTGCTATGTTAGTTAGTTAGTTAGTTAGCTAGCTTGCTCCTTTTCCCTGTTATTAGCCTCTATGCTAATCAGCTGCCCGATGTAGCTTTATGTTTTGATTGGTGTCTTCTCATTTAACTGTCGAAAAGAAAGAAACTTTCCCCAAATATCTAACATTGAGTATTCTTTTACCTGAACTTGAAACTCATTGTCGAAATCCAAACATTGAAGATGTAAGTTATACATGTAAGTAAACAGGCTTAGGTCTTGGCAGGAATAGAACAGGTGTTCATAATG